GCTCCGATAAACAATCAATTGATTCAAATAATTATCATTACTATTATTGTCATTATTAATACTATTATTATTACCATTATTGTCATTATTATTATTATAATTATTATTATTATTATTTTCCCTCTTTTATACTTATACAGCGGCTCGTCTTTGGTGGAAATTCGACTGTATCTAAACGTTCTCGAGTCACTGTCCGGTTGAAAATTGTGTGTTACCACCGAATAAGAGAACTGAAGCAGTTTTTTTGAAACCACGTGCACCATTCAAACTGGCTGCCTTCAACGTTCGCACACTAGTGCAGGTCGGACAACAGATAGGGCTGTCTATGTCTTTGGAAAGTCTTAATATTGATGTTTGTTGTCTATCCGAGACCCGTATTCAAGACTCTGGCGAAGTACTACAAATTCGATCTCCATCTGTCCCTTCGAAAAGCTTATTTTACGTGTGCTTATCCGGGGACCCTGTGGCATCTTCGTCTGCTCTTGCTGGCATTGATATCGCACTAAGCGCTAGAGCTGAGGCAGCACTAGTCGATTGGATCCCCATTAACAGGAGGTTATGTGCTGTTAGATTAGAAAGTTCCATCAAAGTTAGAAGAAATCGGCCTGAGAAACGATGTCTTTTCGTCATCTCTGCCTATGCCCCGACAGATTGCAGCCCGGATGCAATCAAGGATGAGTTTTACCACCAGTTATCTGTTCTTCTCCAGAAAGTGTGCTCGACAGATATTGTAGTACTAGCCGGAGACTTGAATGCTCAGGTCGGGCGTCTAGGCACAGAAGAGAGTCGTTTAGGTGGCCGATGGGGACTCGTTGGTCGCAGGTCAGATAACGGGGACCGTCTACTGCAACTTTGCACAGACCACAACCTGTTTCTGACTAGCACTAACTTTCGACACAGTCATCGCCGATGTGCCACCTGGCGTCCTCCCTCTGCATCTCAAGCCTGGACTCAGATTGATCACATCGCGATCAGCTTCCGCTGGCGTGGTTGTGTAAAAGACTGCCGCTCCTTTTGGAGTACCTATCTGGACTCTGATCATGCCTTGGTCTGCGCCAATCTTGCCTTACTTTTCAGTGGACAACGAAGTGACCGCCATCAACGGATTGATATTAGCAAGCTGGTTGCAACTTCTGTTGCAAATAAGTATCGAACCGAGCTAGCCTCTAGGCTAGCTACCACTCCACCGAAAAGTATAGATGAGCATTGGTTGCAATTGCATGACGCCATTAAAATGGCGGATACAGTCAGTTGTGGGTTTGCGAAACGTCCCGCTTTTAAGGACTGGGTTTCTTCTGGTTCCTTACAACTCATTGAAGCCCGTCGGTCTACTCCGGGTGACCGTGAGTTTGACCATAAACGAAGGATGTTACGTAAGGAAATTGGGCAAAGCTTGCGTAAGGACCGAGAAGCCTGGTGTTCGAAGCGTGCTAATGAGCTGGAAGCAGCAGCTGCATCTGGTAACTACCGGAAGCTCTTCCAGCTCATCCGAGCCACTGGCAGCAAGAAGTCTGGTGTGAGTGAAACAATCTGCGAGGATGATGGGATGCCAATCACTAACATCCATCGACGTCTTGGACGATGGGCAGAATTTTTCGAAGGGCAGTTCAACTGGCCTGCTGCTTCGGCAACATCGGTCAGACTGTCCTGCCCTCCATGGCCGGTGACGACTGATCCACCAATCGAGGAGGAAGTCCGCAAGGAACTCCAACTCTTGAAGCGTTACAAATCACCTGGCCCAGATGACTTACCTCCGGCTCTTTTTAAAGATGGTGGTGACTTTTTGACTAAGGAATTGACGACGTTGTTTACAAAGGTTTGGGAATTAGAGAGTGTACCAACGTCATGGAATGAGTCGATAGTTGTCCCTATCTTTAAAAAGGGTTCACGTCGTTCCTGCAACAACTATCAGGGGATAAGTCTACTTCCGATTGCGTCCAAGCTATTGGCTTCTGTCATACTTCGTAGGTTGTTCAAAACCCGAGAAAGATTGACTCGCGAGGAGCAGGCTGGGTTTCGTTCTGGTCGAGGATGTATTGATCATATCTTCACCCTCCGCCAAATGTTAAAACACCGCCATACTTATCAAAGGCCAACAATCGTAGTGTTTCTTGACATCAGGGCTCCCTTCGATTCGTTGGACAGGACTGTTCTCTGGGATTGTCTATTGAAGAAGGGTGTGCCTGAGAAGTTTATTAACATCCTAAAAGCCCTATATAAAAACACCTCAGGCAGAGTGAGGGCATACAACCACCTCTCTCCATTGTTCCATTCGAGTAGTGGGGTTAGGCAGGGTTGCCCAATCTCACCATTCCTCTTCAACTTTGCTATCGATGACATTCTGGAAACAGCTCTGATGAATGTAAGTAATGGTGGTGTGGATCTGTTGCCTGGAGAAAGACTTCTCGACCTTGAGTATGCGGACGATATTGTCTTACTGTGCGACAATGCCCAAGGCATGCAATCCGCACTTAATCAGTTGGCAATCAGTGTCCGTAGGTATGGTATGTGCTTTGCACCTTCGAAGTGCAAAGTACTTCTACAAGACTGGCAGGATTCCAATCCTGTACTCACCCTGGATGGTGAGCAGATAGACGTAGTCGAGAAGTTCGTGTATCTGGGTAACTGCATAAGTGCTGGTGGGGGTGTGAGTGATGAGATCAACGCACGTATAGTGAAATCCAGAGCGGCTTATGCCAATCTGGGCCATCTTTGGCGCCTTCGTGATGTTAGTCTGGCTGTGAAATGTCGGATCTACAACGCGTCGGTGAGAGCAGTTTTGCTCTATGCTTGTGAAACCTGGCCTCTCCGAGTTGAGGACGTTAGACGACTCTGTGTTCGATCATCGCTGTCTCCGAAGGATTGCTGACATTCAGTGGCAACACCATGTCAGTAATGCAGAGGTTCGGCATCGCGTGTTCGGGCACAGAGATGATAATTCAATTGGTGTCACCATCTTGAAACACCGACTTCGGTGGCTTGAACATGTTCTACGAATGTCGTCCCAGAGAATTCCACGTCGTGCATTATTTGCCGACTCTGGGACTGGTTGGAAGAAGCGGAGAGGTGGTCAGTGTATGACATGGTGTAGTGGCATGAAAGAAAGCTGCAAAGGACTGACTTCTGTCGGTCATTCACGACTCCCTGGTTGGGGTCTGAGAGATGGTGCTACACAGTGGCTAGAGACGTTATCAGATATGGCTCAGAATAGAAGCCAGTGGCGATCCTGCTGTAACCTTCTTTTACTTTCTTCATAAAAAGTGGTTGTGTCTCTCTTACTTGAAAGATTTCTTCTGATTGTACCTTTCCGTTCCCTCGTTACTACCACACTACCTTACACCAATCTCTTCGTTATCGTTCTCTTTTTCTTTTGTGCTCCTTAGTTTTTTTTTCTATCTCTCTTCGAATTTTCATTGTTTTGTGTGGCGCATATATATTGGCGCTCTCTTGTACCAATATTTATGTGTTCAAATAAATAAATAAATACATGACCTGAAAATATGCAAAATTGCATCAGCATGGAGCTTAACAAGGTAGCACAGTGGTGCTTAAAATGGCAACCGGAGCTTAATACGGCTAAATGTGGATGGATATGCTTCGGCGATACATCACTCTACCTAGGCATTACCATAAATGGTGAAGTGTTATCTAGGTTACATACAGTAGTAGACTTAGGACTTAGATATTCCCAACACTTGTCGTTTACAGAACATATATTAAAACAGACCTCTGAGTCTCAACGTCTAATAGGTTACATAACTAGAAATCTTTACAACACTGAGTCACGTATTCTAATGTACAAAGTTTGTGCTTGACCTCTTCTAGAATATTGCACGTTTATTCTTAGCAGTGCGCTCATAAAGGATAAATTAAGGCTGGAATCAGTACAGAGACGATTTACACTTCGTATTCTTGGAGCTGATTGTACCTTAACCTATGATTCCAGATGTAAGAAACTTGGTCTAGACACTTTATGGAGGAGGAGACTCAAACTAAATCTTATCTTTTTCTTCAAACTACTTCATAAACTATCGTTTACATCCGATCACGCGATTCAATATGCAGAAACCTCTCATTATGACATCCGTAATTCCTTGGCACTAGTGAAACAAACTCATTCTAAATCATCTCTGCATATGAATTATTTCACCTGTAAATTTTCTAGACTCTGGAATAACCTACCACAATCTATCCGCATGATAAAATCACTCCCATTATTTGTTCGCTGCATCGATGCATACTGCTCCTCTGAAAATGCATTGAATGGTCTAGCACCTGCAAGTGTATCTCATTCCACAAGTGACATTTTAGGAACTTTAAATGTTTAGCCATCTTTATTAGTGAATTCCCTTAAGTAAAACCACCTATTTGCTGTCAATATGTTAACACCGTCCCTAGCAACTTTAACTAATTTGAATAACACAAACAGTATGTCACTGTATCACATGACACACGCATTTAGGTAGACCTGATTGATATATTTTGGTTATTACTTTTTTGTTGTTCCCTGCTCTCTGTTTTCGTTTTAATTTCTCTAGTTGTAGATAATTATCATTATTTCGATCTGGCACACAAATTGACTTTAATTACACCGTCCATAAATCAACGGGCTGTCTATTTAAGAAATATTAAAAATTTCCGGCTGATGCTTTGGATCGCTGTAATATATGTACTACTTAAACAACAATTGAACTAGTATACTTAAAACTTTCTTTTATCACATGTTTGTTCTGCATGTCTAACGTTTTTACTTATATCAAATTGATCATGCCTGTAAACTGGCTTGAATTCTGTAATTATTATTTTCAGAATATATAAATTATTATTATCTTATGCAAATATTCGAATATTGTATACGACTAATTTCCTTGTGTTAATAATAGTAATATTTAGTAGTAATGACTCGTCAAGCAACACACCTCTTCGCATACCTCCCAGCTGATTTCGCATTATTTACTAATCTTGTTTATTCATTTGAACACTAATGAAAAATACTGATTGAACTGATAGATTTCAATATACGAAAATAGGCAATAAATGAACATTTGAATTTAGTGAAAGAACAAACTCCATCTTTTATTCCATTACGTGTCTATAAACTTTCATGTATGTGTTCAGTTTTTTATCCCTTTGAATATATACAGTTGAAAAAAAAAGGATGAAACTTTCTTCATACAAAAATTACATACATATGGCATTTCACAGTAGCATACCTTCTTGCTACTGGTCAATACCGGGTGAAGTTCCATATGGAAATGTAAAACAAACAGGTAGAAACACACGAAAATTTGAAAAATGTTTCTCATCTCAACTGAGAATATTGAAAATGTTATTCTACTGATCACCAATATTTAGAAATAAATAAAAATAATTTAAAAAAAAAAACAAAACAATAAAAATAGAAACAAATAAATGTTACAATACAAACAATTATTTAGTAAATAAAACAAGTCTACATAGACAAGTTATGAGGAAGATTTATAATAATAATAATAACACAATATTTGTAATGGATGGAGTTCAGTTGATGTTTCATTGATTGATTTATTGAGCATGTCTCATATTGGAATTTGTTTGTCTATTGTCCATACAATAATTAATGGATTGATTGGTTTACTGATTGATATGTACTTGGAGGTTGAGGGAAGACAGAAGTACTAATAATATCAATCATATGTATTTTACAGTGACGTGTAAACAAGGTGAATGTCTGAGAAAGTGAACGAAAGAGAGAAAGGAAGGGATATCTCAAAAACCAAAGAATCTTTTACGTCTATGTATCTGTGTGTGTGTGTTTGAGAGAGAGAGAGAAATAGCAATTGGAAGACAGAACTACGAGTGCATGATGGAAAACATATAAACAGTTTGCACAACCATGATGAATTTCCAGCAAACACGTTTACTGTGTTGTTTACGTTTTTGTGAGAGAAATACAAGGCGATTGAAAGGAATTCCTCAGTAATAGTAATAATAGTGATATTGTATCAGGAAATTCTATTCTGTTGTAAATAATTCATTAAATCCATATAATCTCGATGTATCCCATAAGGATGTAGATGGTACAGCATATATTCATAGAGATACATTTCTTCAGGTCTAATATAATGGAATGAGACAGCATAATCACTGCAACAATCGAATCCCTGATTTCAATCAAATGGGGAGAATAAAAGTCAATGTAATCATCATGATGATAATAATAATAACAATAATGTGGAGAGATACAGTTACAATGTGAGGTAGGCAAAGTTTGTTGAATAACTGCACACTGAATAATAAATAGGTCAACATAACATGATTATGTGACAATAAACTTACAATCACGAGCAACCCTCTCTAAACATTTCTACACTACATGTGCACCTCTCATCTAGTACATGCTTGATTGTGATAGCGTTGGAAAACACAGTTTGCAATGAGCTCCAAAAGCATATCGCGATGTTTCCTTTTTAAACTGTTGTTTTTACTTCATAGTTATATTATTAACGTGTTTAATTTATTCAACCGCCTTCCACAAGCACCACATAAATGTATCTTCTTAAACACTACTCATTTATGTAACTGTTAATTAATATTTGTGACGTGAAATTTCGTGCCAAACTTCAATGTCGCCATCTCAAACCTCAGTGAATCAGCTATCAGACCATCTCTGTTACAAATTAGTGAGAGTGTAGGGAATTTTTCAAAAAGTGATCTTTAACGATACTACACTCATTATTCTCAACTTCTGTTATTTGTTCGTTTGGTTTCTGTTATCACCACCAAACAGTACGTTACAATACATTATTCATCTACTACTCGTCTGTCTTCTGTGTTACATAATACTACTCAGATAAATCCATCTAAAATTTATATATGTAATGGGGACAACGTTCGAATTTGAATTATCATAATATCACTTTAGTATCTGAAGTATTCAGTAGCATTCATGACATGATGTATGATAATGTTGTGTATGATAGGGGAAGAAGAATAATCGTTGCTTTCAGAAACTAGAGTGTTTTGTCTGATTCTCACTCATTTGTATAGTTTAATATAGACTTGAGTGAGCATTGAAAATTATCCTGTATATAATTGATGCTGAAACTCCTGTTACATTTTCGCCAACCATAACCCTTTCCGTGGATAACATATTTAAGTATAGATATGTTTATTAGTAAAACTCACTGTATCTATTCTGTGGTAATTATACTTTAGGTACCATTCTGGGTAGCCGTTTGCGTTTTTTGTGAGCATATGTGATGGAGAGAACGGATGAAAGCATTCACGTCCTTCTGCATCTAGACTATCAATTACTGAAACATTTGTAGCTTCAGCACAAGATCCTGTAATCAATGGAGGGAAAAGAAGATGTATCGAATGAGATTAGCATTGAATTGTTTCTTTTATTGTTTTCGAATTTGCAGTATGTCAAAACACATAAAATGAAGTCAACGAATAAGTCTTTTCAGTAAGTTCTAATCAGGTTCTACGCTTTTGGGGTGATCCAGAAAACTCTTAAAAGCCAGGAAATGCTCAAGAAACACTATGTAGCATTTTATCCAATCAGTGTTCACTAGAAGTTCCTCCAAGTCAATGCAGTCGAGAGAAACGTTTCACAAGGTTCCAGCACGCAAAATTATCGTAATGACAGCAACAAACCATCATCCCCATACTGGTTATGTGGCGTTTGGCGTTCTAAAAGGTTTTGTCCTTCTAAAAATCATCGCTGTACTACGTTTTCTAGAAAAGAGCACAAAGTAGGTCATTGAAAAATCTGGAAACGCCGTCGACAGAAAGTGTGTTCTAAAAGATTCAAGCCACGAACAGCTAAAGTAACGGTGGCTCTTCACAAAGCCGGGTCACATAACCATAGAATGTATGTTTGTCTCAATATTAGTGGATATGATGCCCGCTTACAGTTAGATACAGTCTCCGATATAACACTTATAAGCAGGAGAACGTGGGAGAAAAAATTTGGGAGACCGCGAATATATTCAATTCATCAACCAGCACAAAGTGCATCCGAGGGAATTCTAAACATTACTGGTGATACTCATTGAGAAGTCACAGTCAAAGAGTTTACGGAGAAGGGAGTTATATTTTTGACAGAACATCCATCACTCGACTTATTGGGGCTTGACCGGATAGAAATGTTGAAGTTTTAAAACCGTCCCATAAACTCGATCTGTAACAACGTCAGTACGTCGAAAGTTGAAGAGAAAAACTCAGTGGAAACAGTATTAAAACGACATAAAATGGCATTTAGTGATGGTCTTGAAGAATGCAGTAAATTTAAAGCTGCTCTTACAATTCGAGAGGAATCAAAACCTGTGTTTTGACCTAAGAGACCTGTACCATATGCTGCCTTCCCACTGGATGAACAAGAGCCACAACGACTTCAGAAATTCGGTGTCATTGAACAAGTGAATTTCTCAGAATAGTGGTAGTAAAGAAGACTACTGGCAGCGTCTGTTTATGTGCCGATTACTCAACTGGGCAAAATGAAACCCTAGAAACCCATCAGTATCCCTTACCCCTACCTGAAGATCTTTTTGCTAAACTGAATGGAGGTAAGCTCTCTGCAAAGTTGAACTTATCGGAAGCTTATTTTCAAATTCCTGTTGCTGATGAGTGTAAACATCTGCTCACCACAAACACACACAAGGGTCTATTCCGGTATAATCGAACACCCATCGGAGTCAAGACTTCCACATCCATATTTCAGCAAGCAATGGATAATATGGTACAGGATTTTTCAGGTGTTGCAGTTCATCTGGATGATGTAATAATTATGGGAGTGGATAGAATAGACTTGGAAAAGAAGCTCGACCAGGTGCTGTCGCGATTAGCCGAATATGGACTTTGACTCCGTGCAGAGAAATGTAACTATTGCATGCGAAAGGTACGCCTCCCTGGATTTGTAACCGATAAAGATGACAAGAGATCAGATCCAGAGAATACCCAGACAGTGAAAACTATGCCTAGACTGACGGACGTCCTCACACTACGATTCTTTTTGGGACTAGCTAGTCATTATAGAACTTTTATTCCTAACCTTCATCACTTACGTGCCTCGTTAAATAACCTTCTGGCGGAGAATGAAAAATGGGATTGGTCCGCAACGTGCCAAGCTGCTTTTGAGGAAATCAAGAAAGTACTAGTCTCGGATCTGTTGCCCAACCATTACGATCCATCCTTACCCATCGTAGTAGCATCAGATGCTTCAAACTATGGGATTGGAGCAATTATTATGTTTGGTGACAGAGTTGTTATTCCAAAAACATCATACCACAAGGTTCTGAGACAATTCCGCTGCAGTCATACAGGCATCAATAAGATGAAAGCGTTGGCTCGAAGCTATGATTACTGGCCTACAATGCATGGAGATATCGAAACCAGATGCTGCAATTGTTCGTCGTGCCTGCAAACAGCTGAAAGTCCAAATAAATATGAACCACAACAATGGAAAAACTTAAAAGTCCTTGAGAGAGGCTGCACGCAGCTCTTGCTGGCCCAATCGAGGGAGAATGTTTCTAGTCATAGTGGACACACTCACAAAATAGCCATAAATTCGGACTGTTTAGCTGCTTTGGAGTTCCGGAGACTTTAGTGACCGATAATGGCTCACAATCCACTGCAGAATCATGCAAGCACTTCTGCAACATTAATGGAATTGTGCATATGCGCTCTCCACTCAATCAAATGGACAGGTAGAGCACTTCGTGGACACATTTAAAAGAGCACTACTGAGAGGTAAAGGCAAAAGGTGGAAGTCAGGTAATTAAGAAATTCCTAGCATATTATAGAACTACATCTAACCCCGTCGTTACAGACGGGAATTCCCCTGCTGAAGCAATGTTCGAGAGATGAATCCGAACTATATTCAACGCCATGTTGCCGCTTAAACCAATGGATGTATGCAGACAAAATCAGAATATCCGGAGATTTAACGTGGGTGATAAAGTGCTCGTCAAGTTATACTTTGGGGAAAATCGTTGGCAACCGTGAGTCATTGAGAGGAGAATAAGAAATGTTTTATACAAAGTACTTGGGACTTTCGGAACGTGGATTAGATACATTGATTAAATATACAGAGAATACAGGACACTAAACACGGTATATAGTCGAGTGAGTCTTCTGGGAGAGATAATTACAAATGCTCCAATGGCAAGAACCCCAACAGACACTCATAGACGCTGGATACCAAGAAAATCCGAACGTCGCAGAAAACCAGTTATCCAGCTGCAATTAGACCAGATAAAAAGTATTATTTTTCGAAAAGGGGGAAGGTGTTGAGGAGATACAGAAAACTTCTCAAAATTAAGCCAAGAAAGGCTCTGAAAACACTGAGAAGTATCATATCCAATCAGCGTTCACTAGACGTTTTGCCAGAAACATCTAGAAACTGAAACGTCACATGTCGAGTTTCTGATTGGATGATTACTCATACTGCTACTATGTTCAGTATCATTCCAGAATTTTTCGGAAACCCAAGGATATCTAAAATACTATAAAAATTCACTAGACTTTCTATACATAAACGAACCCATTGAGTAAAGTACTTCACGTTTGTTTTGGTCCTTTTCTCTCGTGTTCAGATCGCTGTGTAGTTCTAGCTTGAGAGTTACGAGAATAGCTTAGGAACCGAATATAGCGTTTAATTAGCACGACTTATCATACGCTTATACATCGTGCAAATTATAGATGCAAAAGCAATTCATGGGATCTTACAGTGGTTAGTAGAACAAAACAGAATTGTTAGTGGATAAATATATATCAACTATGTACTGCCAACTCCTATTGTTGTGTCAACTGTAATTGTCAGAATGATAATGAGAATAGATTTAGATGTCATAATGTAAGAGAACTAATACTGACGTTATTCTTGAACTATCAACTGTCCTATCAATAAGATATGATGCGTAACTGAGGTGACCTCACAGCACAGACTCAACGAAGGTGGACATCGGATGAAAACCCAACTGGATGTAAATAACTGTTTCGTCCCACTATGAAACAGTTCTTTATACTGAGCATCTAGACTTCATTCCAAAATCGGATTTAATGTCTTCAGGATTTCACAAACCGTTCAGACTAATCCAAATGCATTAGGCAGTTTCCATGTCATATTCAACGATATCAATTATTCTTCAAATCAGTTATTGCATAGTCATGATACAATCACATCACACGCAAAATTAGTATGTATACCTACCAAGTTTCACATCTTCAGCGAATACATATTTATTACTTTGACAAACGGTATTATTTTCTAAACCATTAGCGATATTCAAAAGACCAGCTCGAGATAGCACATATCCTCCACCACCGGACATATATCCTTGTTTAACAAATGGCTATTTTGCAAAGAAGAAGAATGTGAAGGAAATAGAATAATATGATGGATTAAGGAGAGTGAAAGTAACAATTTAGACGCACTATCTGTAATAACAAGTATTTGAATTTCTCAAATTCTTATACAAATTAAGGAATCACTGGGAACTATTTGGATGCTCTCTGATAATAGAACAACTTTTCATAACCTGGAACTATGATCTTTAGAAATTCGCTTGAATTATTGACAGTTCCTGTCATGAAACGATTTGATATTCCCCACCCCACCCCACCCCCAACTTCAATTATCATGAAGATATTCTGTTTAGATTTATGAAATAATTCCTCACTTAAGTAATAATACGCTGGGTAAGTAACTCGAGTAATCACAACATTCAGTTCTAATCATTGGTCAATCATATCCTATGTATTAGGTAAATCAAAATCACTATAATCTTCGTTCATTATTGCGACCGAATACTGATGATTACTCCGTTGATGAACATGGCATTTAATCAGAAATAGCCTTTTCGAATGGGTATAATATACGAGCCACCAAAATCACTTGAATCTGTACTAGGATGATGGAGTGTTTTTATCAAATACTAATTATTTTGTACATACCTAACCACACAATTACCGATTCAATACAATTCAAGTGTGTAGACTGTGTTCTCTGTGTTTAGTCCCGATACATTCATCACTATTATACCACACAAAAGTTAGATCTGGGAACTTGGATTGCATTCAATACTAATAATGTTGCTATTATTACTACCATTACAGAACATCCTAACAAACCAAAAGAGGAAATAACAAAAAGAGAGAAGACAAATATCTTAGCAAAGTGAACTGCTTCAACTGTAATAAAAATCACGATGGACTGAGTGACTGCCTTCTTCTTCTTCATCATCAACAACATTAGGTGTCTGAGAAGCACCATGAATTATCTTCGCTTATACCTATGCATGTGGACAATTGTAGACATGGATTTGATTGAGAATATGTTGGCATCTTGAGGAGAGAAAATACAAACAAAACTATAGTTTTAAGTAAATCGGAGCAGGTCAAACAGCAATCAGTAAGCATATGTGTGTTAATTCGAACATCCCATTTCCCTACGAATTTTGTCAAGATGCTGTCCAGAAAGATCACAAAATTTTCAATATTGAACTACCCATCTGGGAGAACGCTAACCCACCTAAATTTGTTTGACATTCTACTGATTTGGCCACCACAGTCACTTTAACATACTATCGGTTGATTGTATTATCTTATCACACAAATAAATCTACTTGTCAAAAATCAGCTACTCCATAGATATGGAGATGCACAACTCACCTTGAATCGTCTGCCCATGATGAATGGTTTATCGGGATTTTCTTTACGTAAAATTTTGCGCAGATTCTCTACAATCACATATGAATCATCATCCGCCTTCATGAAGTAATCGTAATCATTGGCATAATGTTTTGCCATGTATTTTATCGCTCCAGCTGTTTTATTCCACAATAAGTTGCGACCTTCAGTATTGATAACAGCTACAATTTACGAATACATTGATATATTCGGTGGTGATTGAAGTAACTAAACAGAAAGATTCAATGACAATCATAAATGATAATAACCAACACGGGGAGATGGAGTTCACTGGGAAGGAACTTTCACTAAACTCTGGTGAACTTGGACTGAATGATGATAGGATTTATCTTTTTCTTAAAATTCAAACTTGGCTTAGAAGCCAGGTAATTCAGCCAATCATATACATATATATTTCGGCTGAAGGTGCCACATCCCATTGGCTCAAATGTTAGGGAAAATCCAAGGGCAGTAGACGTAGTAACAGTATCAGTGGTAATAAAGAAAATTAAACGTAGAAGATACGATTCGGGAAGGAAATATGACATTATCAAAATGATTGAAAACTTTATGTGGAATTTGGGAACTTTGAACATAAGAGAAGACAAAGAATGAATGCATCTGAGTAATTGAGAACAACTGTGAGCATTGTTACTCAAAGTCTCCAACCATTGTTTACGATGATCACGCGGATCTCAACCAGGTTGTATGCACCTAACTACATGGATTGGTTCAACATTCAGTGCCTTTGTGGACTGATATCATGTTTTCGATTGTCCTCCCTTGACTTTCTTTCTTCCATGCTACTAGTTACACCAGCTATTATTATGCATCCAGTTAGTTGGTAGTTGGACATGCATAATGCATATCCCAACAATCTCAGTCGATAGATTCATTACCTCGTCAATCGATTTCCTATAGTTACCTGGTGCTGTGCGTTCAACCTCAGAGTTGTCAAATCGATGGTACCAAAATATACGAGCAATGATTTGAAGACATTGATGATCAAGTCCTCGTAACCCAAGAATATCCTCTATTATAAAAGGTATGTTTCTCACCTATCAAGTAGATCGGAGCGAAGTGTCGAGCAGTTGACAGACGTATACCTTGTGTGCGCCACAAGTGAGCAAGTTGGTAAACGCCAACCGGCCTCCCTCGACCCGTGTCGAGATTCCGTCAAACACCAACCCATTAGTGTTGATGAGACTTTCAAGTGAAGTGAAGTGGTCGACACAATCCACTATTTCACTCGCTATCGTCAAACTCAAGGTTTGCATAAACCAGTCCTTAAGCAATATTTCGCAATACGATGAAGTGATACGCATCACAAACACGCTCGCACTGTTGATTGATTAAGGAGGTCAAGAGACCCTGAATGTCGTCAAGGTATTCACCAAATAAAAATATTTCATCTTAGTATTCCGAGTCAACAAATGAATCTTCTGGTAGATCAATTTATCATAAATCACACGATGATATTATTATTATTATTATCATCTCAAGAAGAACGTCTACCAATAAGTTAAATGGAAATGGAGAAAGTGGACAACCTTGAAGAAAACTACTTGGAGTCATCAATTCTCATTCTCTTTCGAAGCACCATGAAAATGTAGTTTCACTGCACATTCTGCGCCAAAATAGAAAAATCATTCATTTTCGACATTTCTACAAATTACAAACTGGTTATTATTATTATTCTGATTGCATTATCCTTACACTATACTTTAACATTAGATATATCTATTATGAAATCGCACACAAAAGCTCTTCCTGATGCCTAATTAACTTTTTGTTCGGTGAATATATTTGTATCTGCATCAGTGTTTTTATAGTTGAGTCCAGTCTTACTTTGTTTGTATACAGTTGACAAAATAGCACATTACATGTATAGCTAATCGAAAAATTCACTTGTGTTATGATCTGTATAAGTCTCATGTAAGTCGAAACACATTGGTAGTATCGATTAAAATGTTTAATCTTTTTTTGTAACTGAAACCAATACGACAATATTCATCCGTCCAATGAGCTTCGAACAATATTATCTGAGTACTCTCAGTGTATATACACACAGTGTATATTATGATGTATAAGATAAATCATTATTTTAAGATAACACTAATGTAATGTTTCTCATAAAGTCAGTTATATATTGTACAACAATCTTTTCCACATAACACTATATATCCTGTAAACTTATTTTCATCTCTGCCCGATATAATAAGATATTGTGATCAGGATAGTTGGTCATATTTTTACTGAGACAGTAACTGATTAATAAAGTTGCACAAAGATCGTATCATACCATAAACGCGACCAAATCAAATTAATCAAATGCTTGACACAAAGCATCTGGGTTTCATCTTTCACCAATAATGTATCCACAATAGCTCAAATTTAGAACCTGTTACTTATCCTTTCGATATCAAACATATAATACTTATATGATGCAACAAATTGTAGTCAAATTAAAAGTCAAACTTTACACTTTCATATAACCTCGTGGTACTACTATGAAAGTCACTTCCCGAGTAGTTCACTGGTTAAGTTTCACACTATGAATCCGGGTAAGTGAATTCAAACCCCACTGAAAGCAACAATTGCCCAAGATTCTATGTACGTTTGGTTGACGAGTGCCAACTAGTATAGAACCTGGGTTCAGGGTACACTACCAACCACCTTTGACTATCTAATTCGTCACCATGTCATTTGCTATTAATGAACTATGAATTTGTACTAGATCATATAAACCAGTCGATCCCTTTTATAATTCTAGGTGATGCAATGAGAAGATAAAAATGAATTAAACAGACATTGCATACATCTCTAACTTGTTGGGATTGATTTTCAAGCACTTGATTTCTAGACTGTAACCGTTGCTTTTTCTTATTACCAAGGCGGTTTAAGCATGTAAACAAACATTTACAAACACGACTTAAAATAACAGATGGCTTCTTACTGATTGACTAAGAAACCAATATCTGAGATCATTCAAATAATATTCTTCGTTCATGTATTAGTGTTTTAATATGATGAAGATTTTCAATCAGTTTGAGAACAAAATTCAACATCATACTGTTTTGGGAGGTTCTACCTAACTGCCTTACTACAAACATCATGATGTTTGTCATTATAGTTATCAAAAGATATTTAGTACTATAACTGCTGTTCGGTATTACTCCTGACCCTGGCTACTGAGTGATCTGAGAGAAGTGAGGAGAAAATACCCATACCATACCTGTAGTTTACATTTGTTTGATGACTGATTTGAGTGTGACCAAAACGTACTCCAGCTACCTAACATCAAATAAAGTTAACCACAAATTCCAGTTAATTAGCTTGATCACCCAGTAGTAAAATAAGTGACTGATATAATTTGATCTGGATAAAGGGTTATACAGTAGAACACTGATTACTACTGCGGTGTGTGCTACTTATATTGACATAAGTTAGTAGTATACATGTCAGCCGTGAATAGAATGTCTGGCAGCAGAGAGACAAGAGGATCGAGCAGTAAAGAATGCAAACAGAATGCAATTTGTATCAAAATGCAAGAACAATGAAGTCTGGGTCATTTTGAGACAATCGGTGGACATTTTGCAAATTAAGCATTTGTTTTATGATTGCTAGATTTTATTAACAAGTCCTGTAATCTTGTGTTGAATACATTAGATTGTCTCCACTGGTGTTCTTGTTCACTACACTATTACTACTACTACTACTACTAAACAATTTCCGGTCAGCGTAATCCACCTACTTTACAAAGTACTGCTGAGGAGTCCCACAATACGACGGGACGGCTGTTCGGTGCTTTCATGTTTTCCATGGTGGTCTAGCTTCAATCGATTCATGCTCTCAACTGTTGAGATTTCTTCTAATTTTGTAAAAAAAAAAGTGCAAATTCTTATTGCCTTCAAATAGTTTTATCATAATTCATTAATCTATAACTATTCCGTGATGAAAATCTTCTTTACGACGAGATCATTTACTTAAGCTGTACATTCGTACTCATAGATAGATGAAAAACATATGTCTATAGAAGAACAGAACATAGACATATATTCTCCACATATCTATGAATACGAATGTACAGCCTAAGTAAATGATTTCAACGAAAAGAAAACTTCCATCACTAAATTCAATGACGCAATGGGTTATTTTAATTATCATAACTACTTGTTATTTCAATTTATGCTTGTCAACATGTGTTTGTATAAATCATATGGAAAAACAATATCAAGTGAATTTGAACTTCACCCCATTGCACAAGCAAGTGGCTATCAGGATTCAGTAGCTGAGTGGATAACGCGATGGCGTTTGAAGCGAACGGTACTGGGTTCGAGTCTCAGAGTGAATTAACTTCAACTCACATGCATGTATATACAGGTGATGGATCCCAAATAGGACGAAACGCGCGTCAAACTGGATTCCACTTCTGGCCACTATCTACCTTTGCTTAGAATGCTTGTGAATTAAGGCAATATCGAGGCAATACAAACAGTATGCACATACACCAATAACAGACTGATCAATTACCGTGCTAAGCATCAATGAAAAGATTCAAGTAAAAACAATACCAAGTGAATTTATTCATATTAAATGTTAACCTGAATATTAAGTGGAAATTTTAAGATCCATGATTAGAATAAATATGGGTCAGATAGTGTGAGAGAAGTCATAGTGCAATTACAATTCGATCAAATGTTTAGCGGAAAACTACATTGTGTAAAAAATTATTGGTAAGGATGAATGTGAAGTAAATGGATCGTGTATTGGGGAGATGAATAATGATCTTTAGCCAATAGTAGTAGTAGTAATAATAATAATAACAGTAATTTCCACTTAACATACAAGCAGATTCAAGTCAACATTCCATATAAGTCATAAAAACATGAATAATTTTATTCTATTTTGTTTGACAATCCTACAGTTCACATGCGTTTACTTAAAACGTTGCACTCGTTGCACCCTTGATCTGGACATTTTTCGGATTATTAATTTGAATATATGAATTGTAGAACCTGAAGAGAATCTATCGAAAACAATATTCTTCATTCATAGATTAGTCTTCTTAATATGATGAGGATCTTTAAACAATAAATATGTTTGTATGCTTTAATCTTATTTACAATAAAAAAACACACAACGATTATAGGCTAGATTCATTGATTCAAGAGAACAGGTAAACACTAGAGATTGAACGTTCTTATCAGGGTTTGTAAATGGTATGCTGTGTTCTCCAAAGTGCAACAAAACGTCATGGTGGAATTTAAAAATGGTAACGTTTCTGTATTTAGTTTACAGTTTAAAGTAAACACTCCTTTCTCAAATACCTAGATGAGTAGACACATATGACATTTAGGAATGGAACCAAATGTCCCTGTATTTTCTAATGAATACAGTATTTTCAGAAGCTTCGATTTAAAGACGAGTCTAATTGTGAGGTAATATAGTGTGTCCAATGCTCTCAGAGTAAATAGTAGAATCTTAAATGTTACACAAGAATTAAAGTGGTTTTCTACTGATCTAGTCATTATTCATTTTCGTTCTAAATTGAATTAGTGTCGATAATGTGTTACACATCAATTACTACGGTTTGACTTGATAATCAATGCTGGTTGGTGCAGGAGGAGGTTGCATAAAATAAGGGGTGGGAAGACAGGGACGAGGATTCAATCACGGAAGTCAGTGAATGTTGAGATGAGCCACATTAGTAAGTCCAATTTGCCGGCTTGGTGTTCCCGGGATAATCATTTACAACATTTGGAGATGTTGAGTGGTATCACTTGAAATCTGATGCATTAAGACAGATGTATGCATTTTAATAATCTTTCCGTAGATTTTGAATTCCAATACTTCTCCATCATTTTCATTGCACCAATTAATCCTCTTTCGGAGATCATTTTCTTCATGCTTACTATCAATGATATTACTATCGTTTCGACTGTTTCGCTATCTAGTCTGGTCATATGGATCACAAAAACATGAAACAGTAATAATAATAATAATAATAATAATAATAATAATAATAATAATAATAATAATAATAATAATAATAATAATAACGATTCTGACAACTGGACAATCAGTGACTTACCTATTGAAGGAAGATGCGAATCAGTTTCACTACTAATGAATAAATAGTTATTACATCGACCAGCCCACGTAGCTTTCACATGAACAGCTTTTGATTTATGATTCGCTGGCATTGTTAGTATCCAACAGAACACACGTACTTGTTTAGCCAATACGTTGGCCAATGTTGCCTCGGCTACAGGTAGGAAGAAAAGTATACAAGAATAGAAACAATGTAGATTCGTCTAATTCTTCCTCTAAGACGAGGAAAATTAATTTGACATTCGAGACTGCCAACTGCCACCGTTTGTCTGAATAAAGTAAGTCAATTCGCATAAACAGAGAAATTGACTGACTGACTGACTGAGTAATCAAGAAAATTAAATAAAACAATGCTCACTGAATTTTCAGTAAGGAGAAAATTCAGTCAATGCATCTGTATCACATGAGCTGACATATACTCCTTAGTAAGAGTTTTGAATCTACAAATCTCGTGTTATACTGACCACATTTCGAAGGTACCCGTTCGTTCACTTACACAACTTATGAAAAGAGTTAGTTACTTCACAGATCAACACAAGTTCAACATAGTGAAACAGATGTTGTGCATTGATTCACACTCAATAGCAACACATCTAGTGAATTGGAAATCCGAAAAGAACTTAAATGTATAGACGAGACAAGACATCCTCCCGGAATACTCTACTTGAATTTTTATCAGAATGGAAACGGAATATTTGTGACCCGATTGGCCAAGCTGAAACGAAGAGAAGAAATAATGAAAATCTCAAACATGTCTCTACCTTTAAGACTCAGTGTTTGAACAGATCATCATCATCAGAAGTTAGGTGGTACAATTGAACCACCACAATAAACATGACATAGACCTCCGAATCCTGGCTGTCAGAAAAGTAATAACGTATATCGAAAAAATGAAAACTCAAGCAAATCTAAGGAAACAATTTGAAGCTCATCATATTTTCGAAGATATGCTGGAAATACTGGATCTAGATGAGGGTAAATCATTGAAAATTTTAACAGTACGGAGAATGACACAAGCTAATTTGTTTCAAATGAGGTCCATTCCACTCTATGAGCTATCGATCAGATATACCAATTTTTGGGATTTTACTTACACTTTACATGGATTATTTTCCAAAGTTCTTAAATTCGAACTACTCTGACAGTACTGTCATTTCTCCTGTGTCATCTGCCATATCAGTTGATTATGAAACTGTTTCATTACAAATAATAAATATCATCAATCCTGGAAAACCGACATTTCTCAAATATTTCTAATCCATTAATTCATAAATCAACACACTCTCTAGATGTAACCACAACATTGCAACTCATCACAGAGTAAGGTAGTCAATTTGTTCTTCTTCTTCATGAATATTCGCAAAACCATCAGCTAGCAAATGTATTCAGCCAAAGGTTCCACACCCACCGAAACATTTCTCACTTGATTAATTCATCAAAATTTTCACGGTGCGCTCACGAAATTTGTGTTGAACACGATCCACTCCTTCGGATTCCCTATTTTCCACGTCTATACATCGATGCCATAACTAAAATCATTTCTCTATAGATTTCATGTCGTATTTCGGTTAATGTCAATTCCAATAAACTTCGTCACACTGTACTAACATGTGTAGTTGGCAAGTATGTTTCGGTTTCATTTGAAGACACACGACATCACATCATAAATATTCCTCAAAATATTGGTGATCACTGAATACTGTATTCCAACTTCATGAATAAACAATGGAACATTCATTATGAAATTCATTGATTCTGGACTCCATTCTGTTTACATTTTATTTAAGCTAACACAAATGAGGATAATTGATAACCGTGTACTCTGTGTTAGCCAACCACTCTCATTGGCTAATATTTATTCATAGGAAATAGCTTTGAAGTCTTGTAGACACCACAATGTTCAATTTTTATATTTGAATAGACAGAACACAAGATATGACAGCACTACCTGTGAGAAATGCACCCGATTTCGTATTCCTGCTATTTTCACACCGTACATTTTACTCAGTTATAGAGAAACAACTGACTACATTATGGTGAAAGTACGTAAATTGTGATGATCAGTCTACAGGTAATCCAACTACTTTCATTTCTAAACCAGTGAAATGTCTTCAACTGTGAATGGAAAGTTAGTAAATAAATAACAATGGTTGATCTTAATCACGATAATCTCTCTTGTTTCTTTGATACCAATGCCATTTTTATGCTGTATTCGTTCGCTGATTAAGAAAAAGGTGAAGTGAATTCCTGAGGTTTCCGGTGAAAAATAGGAAAGACTGAGGAAATTGTTGAGACGTGGAGGGTTGTTTATGGAGCTAAAACTGAAGGGAACAAATTGTTTCCAATAGATAAAAGACCTCAGTGAGAGCTGTCAATACTAAAACGATGATGAGAGCTTAACACTTTCATCGAATACCTGTGTTGATAAAATTCACAAAAATGTGTATTGTTTCCAGCTTTAAAGTTTCCAATTCACTTTCTGGATGAACTATGTGAGTATGAGTTTGAGAAAGTTCTCTCTTTATTTGGTCCAACAAAGTCACTTAGGATAAATAGAGTAAAATGTGAAACGATGAGACAACTGAAGGGTCTGAATTCAGAGAGGTGGATAAATGTTTTCAACAGTAGGAAGTAATACAGGCCAAATGCGTTTCTACAAATGGGAACTATCTCAAAAATAGATGTACGACAAACCATCCACTCAACTCGCCTACTTAGTAAAGACACTGGTGACTGAAAAAAATGATTCACATTTATAACGACTCAGTTCATTAACATTCAGCTAGAATTCGGAAACTACAGTCTGAATCATAGATGGATGTTTCGAGTATTGCTTCAACTGAAAGCAATTTTTAGAATAATCATTGAAACCATTAATAACAACTGTGGTTTCCCACTTCAAATCAAAACCAATACACTTACCTAAATGTTGTAATGCATGTTCGTGTATTGAATCGTTTGAAACAACTGTAATTTTCAAGGGAACACGATAGTGAAATTGATAGTCATTTTAAGTTAAATCTAACCTACTCAACTGTTTATATGCATTATCGTTTGCTGTCAATCTCGGTGACTTGGCTGCAAACAGTGCTGCTGTATACAAATCCTCTTCATGTTGTACATAGTAAAAGTGGACAATTAGTCCTCCACCAAACATACCGATCGTGTATATAAGAAGCATACGAAAGAATGGTGATAATTGCATAAAGACCTGAAATTCCTAAGATCAAAATGAAAGAGTGTTAGTACCAACTAACAGAATTTACTTTTGAATGCAATTCCAATCAGGGAATTGTTATGGAAGCATCATAATCATATCACTGTTTCATTTGATGTAACAAATAAGTAGTAAACTTTATTCATGTTTGTATGCCTGAGTACTATGTGGTTCAGTAAATTACTAAACGTCCTTTTTAATGTCATACTTGTTTATTACAGTAACAGTTAATTGGATCCATTCGACTTTGGTGATTAGAGGAGTTTGATTTTGTGCATTTTCCATGGGAAATTTACTACAATGATTTTACCGTTATTGTCTAGACGTATGAGGATTAATAGGCCGAATTCAGAACAGAATGTGTTCACATATACACATCTGATTGCCACATTGATTGATATCAATATGAATCTCTGAGGTAGTATAAATTTTTGCCGAAATCGTGTTCACATATTATCGACGATTGTTAGACAACTTCAACATTCGGTTCATTAAATTAATATGTCGCATACATTAATTGTCAAATTGAATCTCTCGATTCAAAGTTGGATAAGTAGCAATTAGGAATAGAATGTTCTTTTCATCACTATTTAACTTGTATAAAGCGGACGTTTTTGATACACGGCATAGAAATTATCATAAATCACTAATCATTATCTATGGACGTGTTACAGAACCCTTTGACCTCTGCCTTTCTCCGGATGCATCTCGTCAACAAATGTCAATAATAATATCTAATAAACCAGATGATTTTAACACCATTCTTGAAGCGTATGATCGAGATGTAGCTTGGCGATTCCCAAACGAAGGCAAAACCTTTTTCTAATGCCATATGAATTACCTATATTTCACCTCACTGATGTCATATCGTGACGTAAACCAAATCGAAACTAAACATATTGACATAATGAACTCATTTTAGTAATTATTATGTCTCCATCAATGAATAGTTTCAAGTGGATTCTATATATCCTATACAAACTCTATTGTGTGGGGACGTGATTGTTCAGTAGTTCTGTGAAACCTTAAACCTATATACATTTATAATTTAACTATTGTAAACAAAAATACAACTGAAATAATCACTTAATCAATAAAATAGGCATCATCGAAGTAAATTGTATTTGAAATTCCGAATGAATGATCAGCTGGGGATTTTAGTGTTGAGTCGGCTTCCGGAGAACTTCAACGGAGCCCCAGAGGCCCAAAAGGAGCCGAAGGGTCCTAGCTAATCAGAGTGTGATGGAACGTTCGAGAATTCCAGCGTGGCGTGCTACTTTTGGCCGGTAGCATAATATGACGTTAACGGATTGGCTGAAATATGATGTTGATTTAACAGACGCCAACATGTATAAATACCCTTGATTTTCTGTACAAAAATGAACCTTGGGATAAAGTATTTCCTCTCATACTTGTATCTTCTGGTGTTCAAGTCGCTGTGTAGTTCTAGAATGCGGGTTACCGGAATAGCTTAGGAAACTAATATAGCGTTCAATCCAAGCGACTTATCATTTAGTTTGATTTTTTTTAATAAACCAATGGTCTGATGTATCTACTTTCTTTTTAATAAACGGTTTCCTTAACTTTTAAATTTCTTATCATGACTTGATTCATCCCATGTTCAATCGAATTATGATTAACATGAGTGATTATCAGATTGGATTTTTCGAGTATTTGTATTAATAAGACAAATTGAATGTAGTAGAAAAAAAAAGCAAAACTACTAAATACGCAATAGATAAAATGAACTGATATCCTCATGGAGACGTTTTAAAAGATACATCTTTTTACGACCCATATCTTGAAAAAGAATACAGACTGAATACCACCGATTAAGCAAAGTGAGGGATTAGCCATTAAGTTACCAATGTTTACCAAGGTACTGGATATTTTTATATCCAAAATGAATGTAGGTATCTCAAAAAAAAGTGTATGAGAAGTTTACCATGAAAAAATAATTAAAACATTCAGCAGACTATATCTTCAATTTCATTGTTTCTTCTGTCAAACGTTCTTTAATGGTTGCTCGTCTGCATAGGAGGAAGTTAGCTTGTGACTAAAGTCTACTAAATAAGGTCTCAATCATGTTTAATCTTTGGACTCCCTATACTTTTGCACAATAATTCACTAGTTAGTAGCAACCGTTGTCATGTCGATTCGTTGGTGCTAATTAAGTTCCATTCAACACACTTCAAGAACGAAAATAAGGATAAAACGTACTTTCCAGTAGGTCCATAAATTCCTTAGTTTGATTCTTTGAATATCAGTTATACTTTTAGATTATTCGGTAAAAAAACGGAGAGAGTATAATTTATGGACAAACCAATCCGGTATAAGATAACGAGTCACGAGTTTTGGCGAGGAATTCATGCATTCATTTGGCTAAATAGAGTTTTAACATTATATCTTATGTCCTTTGATGATGAAAACCTTCAATCTAATTTTCAAGCCTAATCATCAACTGTAAATGTTAATTCTAACTGCTTTATAATCTTCATTTCGTACTAATCAGTAGGTGTCCATCTTCTAGGTCACTTCAGTGTCACTCAAAGGTTGTCCATAAATTATAGTTTCATCAAAGAAAACCACTAAGCTATTCAAATTTTATGTATCGAGACGAATTCCTAATTAATTCATACTTTGCAATTGGTATGCGTCAAATGATGACAACAAAGAGTATGTTCATTTTGATATTATGTAAATCGGATACGGTATGATTTAATTTAGTCTTATTAATCGAGACAACTCTTAAGCATGATCCATAGCATTCGATCTGCCCTAATAAGAACTAGACACATATGATATTGATCACCACCCAGTGATTACTCATTTGTGATTATATCTCAGTTCTACAGGAGGTCAATCCCGGCCCGGATAGCTCAGTGATAACTTCTCTGACTGTGAAGCTGAGTGACACGAGAACGAATCCGTCAAGGTGTATCAGTCCTCTCAAGACTATAGGTACACCTTGCTGACGAGTGCCAAGTAACACAAAACTCCGGTCCAGGTTGTCCTGTCAACTACATCTAACCACCATGTAATCACAATTCTTAAGCATAATTATGAATTTCAAAGTAGAATTCCATTAAATAATTAAAACATTAATGTTAATGATACCAATAAGGTATTAACAAAAACAATCACTAACTTGTATGAAACAATATGAATCATTAAAAAAAAGAACAAACCTACTTTCATCTAATAAATGGGTAAAATTATTGTCTTATGACTTTCCATTATCTATCACTTCTTGTTTAACCAATTAAAATTGAATTTCATAATTTACATTTTGATTGGTTAATTTGTATTTAAATTTGATCGTAAATAGCAAAGATTTATTGGTTAAAAATGAAAATATTGACCAGTTATTAAGATGAAATATACACATATAAAAAAATCGAAAATAATAAGACCAAACAAGATTGGATCAATAATTCAAAATGGTAACAATCGATTATTTCATTATTTAATTTGTTGCTAAGGCTCGATTGTGTTATTTGACAATAAAATATTTCATTTTTGTTTTGTTTATTCATTAAAAGAAGATCACTTTGAAATATATGACATAAATATTTCGATATTTCGATAATACAAAACGAAGAAGAAGACACAGTTGATTAGAATTATGTGATGTGATATCTTTGCACAATTGGATTGCACACACACACACACGCACACACACACATGGTATACTTGTTAAGACATTTTGATATGAAAACTAAAAGGTCAATTAGACAAATGAAAAATAAACCGTAATAAAGAAATGACCATAATAATAATAATAGAGTACATAAAAACAATATGATAACTATACTAGATAATAAATCAGTATTATTAGGGTAGGTTAAGTGTAAGGACAAATCGTTTTTGAACGTATGAAGGGGATCATTTCGAGTGATTTATCGTATACGTCCATCATTTCCCAACAGAGTTCTTTCCCGTCTTTTACATATAGCTGAAGCTAAAGGATTTTGTACATTTAACCCCAATTTATGTGTATAGAAGAAATTCGTGACCCCTTATCCCTTCTATGACCGAATATAACTTAGCAAATGACTTTTTTTTAATTTAATTTAATTATGTTACCGTTAGCATTATTTTCACAACTGGTATTTATTTGTAACTTTCCACCTCTTTCCGTTTGTATTCTTCACTATCTAATTATTTACACACTTCTTATTACGTAATAATGTTTTGTAATGATTATTTTAAGTTTCCTTATAGCCAAGGCTTCAATAAACCTTAATATACGTCATTTTGGAGGCTTTTGTACAACACTGCGAAATTCTGACTTGATGTCAACCTTATGACTAGACTCAATCAAATGTTTCACAATGGAGGATTATATCTATCTATCTATCTATCTATCCTATGATCTGATTTGACCATTGGAAGTATATATAATATGTAATCAGATTGTTTGAAATGTATTACGCAATTATATCACATAATTCTGACAAACTACGTCTTCTCATTACATTATCGAAATTCATTAAAGGGACTAATTGTTTTAAATTTCGGAAAAGAAGACTCCCTATACAGATTATTAAATGGTTAGATGAACTTGTTAACCTTATGAACATATATATATAATTAAGAGGTTTGATAAGAAATGAATGAACGAATACGTTGTACAATTTGACAATCACATTTTTTATATAAAAAATTTCGACATATACATGATGGGGTTACATACATTCTTTCAGAAAGTAGGTAGGTACGACACAAAGTAGCACGTTTTTGTTACCTTTACAATATTAACACCATACGCATAAGGAAACCTGAACTATCGGTTCAAAATGACATTTTCAACACCTTTTTTCTAAATTCTGATTCACAGTTTTCACAAACTATCTCTCTCTATTATCCTAGAACTAATCATTCTACATTTCCAGGCATTTTTAAAAACTTACATCGTATGATGAGATTCCTGAATAATATGATTCACTTTTGTCTGGTTTATATGGTCTTTCGATAATGCAATGAGAAGACGTAGTTTATCAGAATTATGTGATATATTTGCGCAATATATCACGAACAATCTGATCACACCTAATATACTTGTTAAGAACATTTATATATGAAAATTAAAAGGTCTACTAGACAGGTTAAGGGTAAGTCATAACAAAGGAAAAAGTACACAAAAACAGGAACTCGGCTTTCACCATGAAGCGTCATAATTCTTCTAAAAGAAGACCTTCTAACTCCCAGGGTAGAGTTAAAATGGTTGGAATTATTTTTCTGGCAAGCGTTTTTTTAGCGAGTTAGTTTTCTATTGGATGGGGACGCTAACCCCATGCCTAACCGTCCTCCTTTACCCGGGCTTGGGACCGGCAGTAACTCTAGAAGAGCTACAGGCCAAATTACAACACTACGGATCATCGTCGAACGATCAGTTGAGTGGAACTCGTCACTATACATCAACTTCATTGATTACGAAAAGGCATTTGACAGTGTGGATAGGAGGACATTATGGAAACTTCTTCGACACTATGGAGTTCCTGAGAATATTGTCAACATTATCCGGAACTCATACGACGGACTACAGTGCAAAGTCGTGCATGGAGGACAGCTGACAGATGCATTCCAAGTAAGGACCGGAGTAAGACAAGGCTGTTTACTCTCTCCCTTCCTTTTCCTCCTGGTGGTCGACTGGATTATGAGGACCTCGACATCTGAAGGAAAACACGGAATTCAATGGACAGCTCGTCACAGACTATATTTGCTAGGTAAGGTATTATAGAACTTTTATACTTTTGCTTGCGTGCATAGATTATAATGTAATTACGTCTCGTTCTATCAGAAGATATAAAAGGAGAACGTTAGGGGCCGCCAAACCAAAATGCGTCATCAGTGCTTGAAGTCACTAACTTCTGGTCTGAGCCATGTTGTTAGATGCAGAATTATTGATTGGGGATCACGTCACTATCGTAACCAATGGTTGGAGATTCTGGGACATGGCTCAAAATCGATCACAATGGCGTCGGTGTATACATTCTCTATCTTCCCTTGGACTATGAGATTAAAATTGCCTTATATCTTTCTTTCTATGAACTAATTCTTTATTCCTATTCCATGTCCTTATATGCAATCTTTCTTTTGTATATTACCACCAATAAATAAGCCACTTCTATGAATTCGGTGTTCATCTTATTGTGCTAATGAGTGAGGTGTGGCAACCTGGAGCGATGTATAGATGTGCCTGGTCCTACGTTGTAACTGACTAACTGACTGAATCGGATTCTTGATTTTATATTTTTCCCGTACAGTAACTATGTTCAAGTCGATGTGATTGTTTCCAATCATTATATATATATGTTGAACACATAATATGTATGCCTATTTATTTAGATTATTTAAATTATCCATTGTGTCGTTGAATGAAAGTAAAGAGAATTTTCATTTCTACGAAATCATTTACCTAAGCTGTATATTCGTATTTATAGTTATATGGTGCAACGATAGAAAAGATACTTACCATCATGAATCACTTTATGGTACAATCCTTTCTTCTAGTATGAGATTCCTCACCAATGCGCATCCATGATTCCGCACGTGGTAATCGAACATAGGACCTTCGGTCTCACGCTCGAACACTTAAACTCCAAACCACTAAAACAGCATCTAAAAGTGTTAATGTCTAACTTCCATCGATTCATGAATGGCTGCGCAACCACTTATCTATGCTGAGAAGTCCCAAACTAGGACGAAACAGCTGTCCAATTCTTCTGTGTTTTCCATGATGATCTGACATCAATCGATTTATGACCTCAATCAAAAACTTAATTTGCATAACCCGATATTGATATCAATCTTTTCTATCCTTCTATTTACGTACTAATACCAAGTCATTCGTTATACATTTTCAAAATAAAATAGAGACATAAGTAAACTGGGTTGTAAAAGCTGGTAGTAATAAAACATTCATCAAAGAACAGAGATAATATTTTGGATCAATAGCATTGTTTGTAAAAGTGTCACATAAAGAATTCGGTAAGACTATCATGTATGGACGAATTGATCACCATATCAGTGTAATCTATTTCAATTGAAGATCTCGATAGCACAATATTAAATGCAGAATGGTAATTTATGAACAGTGAAAAGATTTAACGAAATGAAAGGCTAATAAGTTAGCTAATTGAGCTATCAATCTATCATCTCAGATTTCATTATTCTTTGGTTTCCACACCAATCATTCTTTGTTCTCGTCCTCTTTTCTTTGATCTTCTTTACCTTCTACCGTCAGAAATTTCACTTTCAATTGATGATACATACTACTTATATCTAGAGCACACACCACACTCACCCCGCTTTAAAGAAGTCGTTCTTGAGGTGGTTCTGCTCGCCATACTACTTTCTTCTTCTCTGCAGTTTGTATTACGATCTTCGTTAAAATGTTGAGCCTGCAGCGCATTGACCTCCTGGCTCCATCGATCTGACGGGCCACCAAAATCCGATGTTTACCGATCATTTGGGACATTCAACCCCTGCGCTCCAGCGACATGCTGAGCCCTCTAAATCTGGTATTCACCCAGCAGTTGCATATCCTACTGCTCCTCTCCGTCGACAGCAACTGCTACAACTAATACCACCCCTCCAGAACACTTCATTCGACGTCAACTCCGCTCAACAGACCACTCTAACTAGCAACTCAAATTCAGTCTCACAACACCATCTAACAATCATTATGAATATCACATTAAATATCTATACTTATTAATTCTATTAATGATAATCACATAAAAACCTTTTTGTTTCTATTCATTATTGAATAAAGGTCTTCAACTAATCAATGATGAATTAATTATAATTACTTATTATTATTATTATTATTATTATTATTATTATTATTATTATTATTATTGAACAGGATTTGACTAAAACAATTTAAGGTCGAATAAGAAGCGTTTCATTGAAACATAAATGATAATTATAGTCCTTAAATATTATTATTGTTAATAAGAAGATGTACATCATGTTCGTAGTTAAGGTTATTGGTGCATTAAAAACACTATACAATATCTTTACTATTATTATTATTATTGCTATCATTACCGTTACCATTACTATTATTATTATTATTATTATTATTATTATTATTATTACTATTATTACCATTACTATTACTATTATTAGTATTACTACCATTACTATTATGGTTACTGCTACTATCATTATTACTACTATTGTGTTGTGAGCTACTTATATTCATAT